AATACACCATATACTCACTACACCATACACTCACTACACCATACACTCACTTTCACCATACACTCACTCACCACGATACACTCACTACACCACATACATCCACTACACCATACACTCACTACACCGCACACTCACTACACCATACACACTACCATCACTACACCATACACTCACTACAGTCACCACACCATACTCACTACCATACACTCACTACACCATGCACTCACTACACCATACTCTCACTACACCATACACTCACTACACCATACACTGACTACTGTACACTCACTACACCATACACTCACTACACCATGCTCACTACACTGTTACACTCCACTACACCATACACTCACTACACCATACACTCACTGCACCATACACTCACTACACCATACACTGCTCGTACACTCACTACACGTACACTCACTACACCATGCACTCACTACACTGTACACTCACTACACCATACACTCACTGCACCATACACTCACTACACTGTACACTCACTATACTACACCATGCACTCACTCATCGTACACTCACTATACTACCTACACTCACTGCACCATTGCACTCACTTCACTGTACACTCACTACACACATTACACTCACTACACAATACACTCCTACACCATTCCTCACTACACCGTGCACTCACTATACTACACCATACTCACTACACCGTACACTCACTACAGCGTACACTCACTACACCGATACCTCACTTACTACACCATACACTCACTACACCGTACACTCACTGCGTACACTTACTACACGTGCACTCACTATACACCATACCTCACTACCATACACTCACTACAGCGTGCACTTACTGCACCGTACACTCACTATACTACACGCCTCATTACACGTACACTCACTACACCATTACCTCACTACAATACCTCACTAAACCGTACACTCACTGTACACTCACTACACAATACACTCACTACCATACACTCACTACACACTGCACTCCTACACCATACATCTACACAGTACACTCACTACACTGTACACTCACTATACTACACCATACTCACTACACCATACACTCACTACACATACACTCACTACACTATGCACTCACTACACCAAACACTCACTATACTACCATACCTCGCTACACCATACACTCACTACACTGTACCTCACTACACCATACACTCACTACACCATACACTACTACACCATACACTCACTACACCATACCCACTACACCATACTCTACACCATACACTCACTACACCATACACTCACTACGTCCTCACTGCATTACACTCAATATATACACCATACACTCACTACACCATACACTCACTACACTGTACACTCACTACACCATACCTCACACCATACCTCACACACCATCACACTCACTACACCACATACCTCACTACACCATACACCCCACTACACCATACTCACTACACCATGCACTCACTACACCATGCACTCACTGCATATTGCACTCACTACACCATACACTCACTCACACCATACACTCACTACACCATACTCATACACCATATACTCACTATACCATACACTCACTACACCATACAATCACTACACGGTATCACTACACCATACACTCAATACACCACACTCACTACACCATACACCATACTGACTACACCATACACTCACTACACCAAACACTCACTACACCATACACTCACTACCCATACACTCACTACATACACTCACTACACCATACATCACTACACCATGCATCACTACCATACATCCACACACTATACACACTCACTACACGCACACTCACTACACCATACACACACTACACCATAAACTCACTACACCATACACTCACTACACCAGTCACCACACCATACTCACTACACCATACACTCACTACACCATGCACTCACTACACCATACCTCACTACACTGCACACTCACTACACCATACACTCACTTACCTCACTACACCATACACTCCTACACCATACACTCACTACACCATGCACTAACTACACCATATACACTCACTACACCATACACTCACTACACTGTACACTCACTACCATACACTCACTACACCATACACTCACTACACCATCACACTCACCACCATGCACTTACTACACCACCATACCCTCACTACACCATACACTCACTACACCACCACACTCACTACACTGCACACTCACTACACGTGCACTCACTACACCATACACTCACTACACTGTACCTCACTACACCATACACACTCACTACACTGCACACTCACTACACTATACACTCACTACATCATACACTCACTACACTGTACACTCACTACCATACACTCACTACACCGTACACTCCCCTTCTGCCTTACACTCACTACCGTACACTCACTACACCATACACTCACTACACCATACACTCACTACACCATACACTCACTACACTGTACACTCACTACACTGTACCTCCTACTACACCATACACTCACTACACTTAGACTCACTACACCGTACACTCACTACATTACTCACTACACTGTACCTCACTACACTGTACACTCACTACACTGTACACTCACTACACCATACACTCACTACACTATACACACACACTGCACACTTTCTACCGTACTCACCACACCGTGCACTCACTACCTGTACACTCACTACACCATACATACTTCACACCATACACTCACTACTATACACTCACTACCCTGCACTCACTACACTGTGCACTCACTACACAATACCTCACTACACTGCACACTCACTACACTGTTACCACTCACTACACTGTACACTCACTACACTGTACACTCACTACACCATACTCACTACACTATACACTCACTGTACCTCACTACACCGTACACTCACTACACTGTACACTCACTACACTGTACACTCACTACACTGTACACTCACTACACTGTACATACTGCACCTCACTACACCATACACTCACTACCATACACTCACTACACCATACACTCCTACACCATACACTCCCCTTTCCACACCATACACTCACTACACTGTACACTCACTACACTGTACACTCACTACACTGTACACTCACTATACTACACCATACACTCACTACCACTCATACACTCTACACATTACTCACTACACTGTACACTCACTACACTGTACACTCACTACACCATACCTCACTACACCATACCTCACTACACATCACACTCACTACACTGTGCACTCACTACACTGTACACTCACTTACACCATACACTCAATACACCATACCTCACTACATTGCACCTCACTACACCGTGCACTCACTACACCGTACACTCACTATACTACACCATACACTCACTCTCCATACACTCACTACACCATAAACTCACTACACTGCCTCACTACACTTCCTCACTACACCGTGCACTCACACCCGTACTCACTACACTGTACACTCACTACACTGTACACTCACTATACTACACCATACACTCACTACACTATACACTCTTCACACCGTGCCTCACTACCTGTACACTCACTACACTGTACACTCACTGCTGCTCACTATACTACACCATACACTCACTACACCATACACTCACTACACCATACTCAATACAACATACACTCACTATACCATACACTCACTACACCATTACACTCACTATACTACACCTTCACTCCACGACACCGTACACTCACTACACTGTACACTCACTGTACTACACCATACACTCACTACACCATACTCAATACACCATACACTCACTACCGTACACTCACTATACTGCACCATACACTCACTACACGTACACTCACTACACTGTACACTCACTACCACCGTGCACTCACTACACCGTGCACTCACTACACTGTACACTCACTACACCATACACTCACTATACCGTACACTCACTACACCCATTACCTCACTATACTACACCATACACTCACTACACGTGCACTCACTACACCGTACACTCACTACACCCATACACTCACTATACTACACCATACACTCACTACTCCACACACTCCTACACCATACACTCACTACACCGTACACTCACTACACTGTACACTCACTACGTTACACACTCACTACACCGTGCACTCACTATACTACACCATACACTCACTACTCCATACACTCACTACACCATACACTCACTACACCTGCACACTCACTACACCATACACTCACTTATGCACACCATACACTCACTACTCCATACCTCACTACACCATACTCCTACTCCATACACTCACTACACCATACACTCACTGCATACCTTACTGTACACTCACTACACCATACACTCACTACACCGTACACTCCTTACACCATACACTCACTACACCATGCATATACACCATACACTCACTGCGTACCTCACTACACTTGTACACTCACTACACCATACACTCACTCACGTACACTCACTACACTGTACACTCACTTACACTGTACCTCACTGCACTCACTAAACCATACACTCCATACCTCACTACCATGCACTCATATACTACACCATACCTCCTACTCCATACACTCACTACACCCATACACTCACTCTCCATACACTCACTACATAAACTCACTACACTGTACACTCACTATACTACACCATACCTCCACTACTCCATACACTCACTACACCATACACTCACTACTCCATACCTCACTACACCATGCCTCCTACTCCATACTCACTACACCATACACTCCTACACCGTACACTCACTACACCATACCTCACTACACCGTACACTCACACTACTACACCATACACTCACTACTCCATACATTCACTACACCATACACTCACTACACGTACACTCACTACACTGTACTCCATACTGTACACTCCACTAAACCATACACTCAATACACCATACACTCACTACACTGTACACTCACTACACCGTACACTCACGACACCGTGCACTCACTATATACACCATATACACTCCTCCATACACTCACTACACCATACACTCACTACACTGTACACTCACTATACTACACCATACCATTATGTTAAGTAAGAAGAAAGTTGTTCGTTCGAAGTTTCTCTCTTCTGTCCACATGACTCCAGAATCCCAAGCAGGCTATCATGATGGGCAGTCCCAGTAGGCTGAAGATAAGCTCTCCCGTGACCTGTAACATGATAATACTCTCCCGTGACTTGTAACATGATAATACAGTACTCCCCCCGTGACCTGTAACATAATAATACTCTCCGGTGACCTGTAACATGATAATACTCTCCCGTGACTTGTAACATGATAATACTCTCCGTGACTTGTAACATGATAATACTCTCCGTGACCTGTAACATGATAATACTCTCCGTGACCTGTAACATGATAATACTCCCATTGACCTGTAACATGATAATACAGTACTCCCCGTGACCTGTAACATGATAATACTCTCCGTGACTTGTAACATGATAATACAGTACTCCCCGTGACCTGTAACATGATAATACTCTCCGGTGACCTGTAACATGATAATACTCCCCGTGACCTGTAACATGATAATACTCCGTGACCTGTAACCAGGGCTGTGGGTCGAAGACAAAACAACCGACTCCGACTCCGACTCACTCCTTGGCCTATTTGTAACAACTATTTCTATCCTAATTGTAATTTGTATGTTGTAACCTGCATAGGTAAAGTAAACACCGTGGCTATACTGCTACACTTTATTAATGATCTGGACGATATTTAAGAACTACAAAAAGATGATAGGCTTGACTTTCAAGTTTCAATCAAAAGAAAAATAAATTTATTAAGAATTCAAGATATTAACTAGAAAACACCATTGACATGTATATCTAAAAGTTCGATCTCAGCATATGAATTTTGTTTAAGCTCATAATCTGATGTGGATCTAAATGATGATCCTACAATTCCTTTTAAAGTAAGTTATATATTTATGTACATTAAAAGAAATGAATACCTTATTAAGAGAAAATGGATAAACCTTACATGATTAAGTTATTAAATTAAATTTGCCTTAATCTCACAAAAACAGGTTGTAGCTAATTGTTTTGTGTGAGAGCCTCTGTGCAGTTTTCAACGAAACAAAATTTGATATAATTCAAAATTTCAAATGGTAAAGAGAGACTATCGTCAAAATTATAGTGCTATACTGTGCCTGCTACAAAAATTCATAATAATGCTTATAAAATGAAATAAATTCTTTTAATAATTTAAGAAAATTAGTGGGATCAGTGGAATCACTGCAATGAATATGCACGAGTTCATATATTTGTTCTTAGGAACAGAATAGCTTCAGTGGAGTCGGTCTGGAAATTTTACCGACTCCGACTCCACAAGCCTCCGACTCCTGACTCCGACTCCGACTCCGACTCACTCCACAGCCCTGCCTGTAACATGATAATACTCTCCCGTGACCTGTAACATGATAATACTCTCCGTGACCTGTAACATGATAATACTCTCCCGTGACCTGTAACATGATAATACTCTCCCGTGACCTGTAACATGATAATACTCTCCCGTGACCTGTAACATGATAATATTGTATGAGACTATAGTGTATGAGGCTAGTTCACCTGAAAGCCTCCACGCTGGTTGTATTGTCGTCAGCATAACGAGAATGGAAGGAGTTGTCATGTACTGTAATACAGTGGGGTATGCTATAACGAATCTAATTGGTTCTAGAACCTCGTTCGTTATAGCATTCATTCGTTATAGGATTAATCCGTTCCAGGCCCCCAAATACAACCACTTAACACTGAAATTTCTGGAAATGTAAAAAATAATGCATTGGTCTTACCTTAGTAAGCGTTCAGCATGCAGGACAGGGAGCAGAGGGGAGGGGAGGAGAGAATTATGTGGAGAAGAGGTGAAGGAGAGGAGCCATCCTTCCTAGCCCTCTTTGGTGACTGTCTCTACAGGCACTTTGTCTGTAGTGGTTCTTTTGTTACCTTTGTAAAGAAGGAATCCAGTGGTTGGCTGTTTCTAACCTTGATTTTCTTGATCTTCCAAAAGTAGTTCATCACATTAAACACATTCGATGGCCATTTCCACAGAACCAACATCAGGATGATAATCCCTCAGCAAGCTTGTGACAGTTTCCTCCAGCAAAAGAACACATCCTTGAGATCTTTGTTCCAATTACGCGGTTTTCTCTGTCCTCCTCTCCCCGACTCCTCAGAAGCTAAGTCTACCGTGTGTCTCGCTTTGTTCTTTGTGAAGCCAAGCAGCTCCTCAGTGGACAATTCTCATTGTTCTTCTTCCACCAACTCCTCAACATCATCATCATCCACTTCCAGGCCCATGAATTGCCCCAGAGACACACCTCATGTACAACAGCCTTTTTCTTCTAACTCTCCTTCGAAGCTCTCTTAAAAAGTCACTTTGAAGTTATCACATTCAGGCCATACACTATTCTTAAGCAGCAATAATAAAAGACATCATGGTAACCTTCTTTCCAGGCTGAGGTAATTAAAAAACAGCATCTGCCATATTGAAGTGACCTTCCAGAATTCTCTCAAACTGAACATCACTAAAAGAAGGATTAAAAACATTTTCAAACAGCTCGTACAGCTTCTAAAGTTAGAAATTACCATGATCCATGGCTGGATGAGAGGTGAAGTTGGTGGCAAGAAGGCACAGTGATGAAGCTGAACTCCTGGCAATTCAACCATCAAATTAGGGAGGTGGGTTTATGTATTGTCCATCAACAACAAAGCTAGTTGAAGATTATTCCCTGAGGTATTCCTATCGATTGTCCAAACACCTCAATAACTCCACTAGAGAAAAGACTCTTTGGTCACCCAAGTTTTCAAGTTTGACTGCCACATAGCCACCAAGGCGGGTCTCCCTAATGTTTTTTGAAAGCTCTGGGTTTTCTGCATGGTACACAAGGAGTATGTATTTTGCAAGCCACCAGAAGCATTAAAGGACAAAAGAAGTGGAGTATAAGCTTGTCATTCATTGGCTTGCATGCAGATGTGTTTTCCTGGTATTGTATGCACACAGTATTTTTTCCAAAAAGTCCAGTTTCATCACAGTTGAATACCTGCTGAGAAACAAAGCCCTCTTAATAACATTCAAAAATGTCATGGTGTTCCTTAGCTGCTTCCTTATCTGCACTAGCAGCATCACCATGTCTCACAACACTATGTGCACTTATTTCTCCTTCTGAATTCAGTAAATTAACTTTGGTACCCCAAACACCGGCACATCACTATCACTTGAAATTGGGAGTCTTGGCTTTGTCCTCAACAATTGTCTGGCCTTCTACAAATTTTAGGCTTCACTCAATGCTATCACCTGCCATTTCTTTCTCCTTTATCCACATTAAGAGTAAATTTTATCTCTTCAATCATTACACCTTGCTTTGCTAAGTCTAGAGATTCCCTTTAGCCACGCAGGCCGCTTTCGACTCTCTTTATTCTTCAAATCGTACATATAGTCGACGAAGCTATCCCATACTATCACTAAGTTTCGCAATGCTTGTTCCATCCCCAGTTTCTTTTATGATTTCTTTCTAGTTTCAAGAGTTATGAACTTCTCACCGCTTTTGGACGATTCACTGTTACAATTGTACACTTGTATAACAAAATATTTACACAAATAACTCCATATTTCCACATCAAAAGACGAAATTTCAACAATAACAGTGGTGCACCGGCTACAATGAGACAAAGATGGCGCTGACGCTTGTTGTGGGTCACAACAATATTCATGCGCCAGGCGAAGAAGTCCGTATTCATCTCACAGTTTCATGGTAGGAGTTGGGCGTCAAGAGGAAGACATTCTCACTTATAGGTAAAACTGCTCAAGAGGTAGGAATATCTGTGAGTAGGATCCGCTTCGCTATAGCAGTTATAGCATACCCCACTGTATACCGTAGAACTTTGTGTACTTTATACCTTATATGTTACTCTTAAATTTCTACGTATGATGTTTACTGTTTATTAAAGCAGTTTGGGAACAGTTTATGTTGTGTTTTTTATATTAAACAAATAATTTACATTTACATGAATTAAACTATAAACCACGATTAGATAATTCATAATATATTGTGGTACCTAATGCATGAGTTATTGTGACATCGCTGTCTATATAAACACAGGCGATATAAACATGAGCAAAAGCTGACCTGTGGCCGCCATAACATTCCGAGGGACGCCAGTACAGAACAAGGCCCACCACAGAGCCTGGACAGGTAAGGCGACAGAAGTGGTTGCTAACGTGAAGATCATAGAGTGTGAGGCGGCCATCACTCGGCCCACAAGGACGAGAAATGTTATGTAGAAACCGATAAGCCAGCCGTAGAGCGTGGGCCACACTCTGCTCCCCAGTGGAAGTGACACCCAAGTCCAGCTGACGTGAGTTTGACAAACTTGTGGGGTGACCCAGCCTGTAGGAAACAAGAACACAGAGATAGTACAGTCCTGCTGATGGTGTTACTGTTAATACTGTCCTACTGATGGTGTTACTATTACTACTGTCCTACTGATGGTGTTACTATTATACTACTGTCCTGATGATGGTGTTACTATTACTACTGTCCTACTATTTACTGTTACTACTGTCCTGCTGATGGTGTTACTATTACGACTGTCCTGCTGATGGTGTTACTGTTACTACTGTCCCTGATGGTGTTACTGTTACTACTGTCCTCTGATGGTGTTACTATTATACTACTGTCTGATGATGGTGTTACTATTACTACTGTCCTGCTGATGGTGTTACTATTACACTGTCCTGCTGATGGTGTTACTTACTACTGTCCTACTGATGGTGTTACTGTTACTACTGTCCTGCTGATGGGTTACTATTATACTACGTCCTGATGATGGTGTTACTATTACTACTGTCCTGCTGATGGTGTTACTATTACCTGTCCTGCTGATGGTGTTACTGTTACTACTGTCCTGCTGATGGTGTTACTGTTACTACTGTCCTGCTGATGGTGTTACTATTATACTACTGTCCTGATGATGGTGTTACTATTATACTACTGTCCTGCTAATTGTGTTACTATTACTACTGTCATGGAAGCCACACATCCTCAACATTGCTAAAGCAGCCTCCTGAAAGCTTGGAATGCTGTACAGATGCCGTAGCTACTTCACTCCTGAGTAGTTGGTTCAAGTATATAAGGGATTCATTCGTCCTAACTTGGAGTACTGCTCTCATATCTGGGGTGGCTCTTCGACTGTTAGATAGGGTGGAATCAAAGGCATTTCGTCTTATTGATGAAGGGTGTGTGTGGGTGGTGTTGAAGGGTGGGTGTGTGTGTGGGTGGTGTTGTAGGGTGTGTGTGAGGGTGGTGTTGGAGGGTGTGTGTGGGTGGTATTGGAGGTGTGTGTGTTGAGGTGGTGGTGTTGGAGGTGTGTGGGTGGTGTTGGAGGGTGTGTGTGGGTGGTGTTGGAGGTGTGTGGGTGGTGTTGGAGGGTGTTGTGGGTGGTGTTGGAGGGGTGTTGTTGTTGGTGGTGTTGAGGGTGTGTGTTGGTGGTGTTGGAGGTGTGTGTTGGTGTGTTGGAGTTGGTGGTGTGGAGGGTGTGTGTGGGTGGTGTTGGAGGTGTGTGGGTGGTGTTGGAGGGTGTGGTGGTGTTGGAGGTTGGGTGTGTGGAGGTGTGTGTTGGTGGTGTTGGAGGGTGTGTGTTGGTGGTGTTGGAGGGTTGTGTGGGTGGTGTTGGAGGTGTGTGTGGGTGGTGTTGGAGGTGTGTGGGTGGGTGGAGGCGTGTGTGGGTGGTATTGGAGGTGTGTGTTGGTGGTGTTGGAGGGTGTGTGTTGGTGGTGTTGGAGGGTGTGTGTTGGTTGGTGTTGGAGGGAGTGTGGGTGGTGTTGGAGGGTGTGTGTGGGTGGTGTTGAGGGTGTGTGGGTGGTGCTGGAGGGTGTGTGTGTGGGTGGTATTGAGGTGTGTGTTGGTGGTGTGTTGGAGGGTGTGTGTTGGTGGTGTTGGAGGGTGTGTGTTGGTGTGTTGGAGGGTGTGTGTTGGTGGTGTTGAGGGTGTGTGTTGGTGGTGTTGAGGGTGTGTGGTGGTGTTGGAGTGGGGTGTGTGGGTGGTGTTGAGGGTGTGTGTGTGGGTGGGTGTTGGAGGGTGTGTGTTGGTGGTGTTGGAGGGTGTGTGTTGGTGGTGTTGAGGGTGTGTGTGTGGGTGGTGTTGGAGGGTGTGTGTGTGGGTGGTGTTGAGGGTGTGTGTGTGGGTGGTGTTGGAGGGTGTGTGGTCGTGTTGGAGGGTGTGTGTGGGTGGTGTTGGAGGTGGGTGGGGGAGGTGTTGGAGGGTGTGTGGGGGAGGTGTTGAGGGGTGTGTGGGTGGTGTTGAGGGTGTGTGGGTGGTATTGAGGGTGTGTAAGGTGGTGTTGGAGGGTGTGTGTTGGTGGTGTTGAGGGTGTGTGTGGGTGGTGTTGAGGGTGTGTGTGGGTGGTGTTGAGGGTGTGGGTGGTATTGAGGGTGTGTGTTGGTGGTGTTGTAGGTGTGTGTTGGTGGTGTTGAGAGCGTGTGTGGGTGGTGTTGAGGGTGTGTGTGTGGGTGGTGTTGGAGGGTGTGTGGGTGGTGCTGGAGGGTGTGTGTGTGGGTGGTATTGAGGGTGTGTGTTGGTGGTGTTGGAGGGTGTGTGTGTTGGTGGTGTTGAGGGTGTGTTGGTGGTGTTGAGGGTGTGTGGGTGGTGTTGGAGGGTGCGTGGGTGGTGTTGGAGGGTGTGTGTGTGGGTGGTGTTGGAGGGTGTGGGGTGTTGGTGGTGCTGAGGGTGTTGGTGGTGTTGGAGGGTGTGTGTGGGTGGTGTTGGAGGGTGTGTGGGTGGTGTTGGAGGGTGTGTGTGGGTGGTGTTGGAGGGTGTGTGGGTCGTGTTGGAGGGTGTGTGTGTGGGTGGTGGTGTTGGAGGGGGGTGGGTGTGTGGGGGGAGGTGTTGGAGGGTGTGTGGGGAGGTGTTGAGGGTGTGGTGGGGGGGAGGTGTTGGAGGGTGTGTGGGGGAGGTGTTGAGGGTGTGTGGGGGAGGTGTTGAGGGTGTGTGTGGGTGGTGTTGGAGGGTGTGTGGGTGGTGTTGGAGGGTGTGTGGGTGGCGGGCTGAGGGTGTGTGTTGGTGGTGTTGGAGGGTGTGTGTGTTGGTGGTGTTGGAGGGTGTGTGTGTGTGGGTGGTGTTGAGGGTGTGTGGGTGGTGTTGGAGGGTGTGTGGGTCGTGTTGGAGGGTGTGTGTGGGTGGTGTTGGAGGCGTGTGGGGGAGGTGTTGAGGGTGTGGGGGAGGTGTTGGAGGGTGTGTGGGGGAGGTGTTGAGGGTGTGTGTGTGGGTGGTGTTGGAGGGTGTGGGTGGTGTTGGAGGGTGTGTGGGTGGTGTTGAGGGTGTGTGTGGGTGGTGTTGGAGGGTGTGTACAGTGGTGTTGAGGGTGTGTGTTGGTGGTGTTGGAGGGTGTGTGTTGGTGGTGTTGAGGGTGTGTGTGTGGTGGTGTTGAGGGTGTGTGTGGGTGGTGTTGAGGGTGTGTGGTGGTGTTGGAGGGTGTGGGTGGTGTTGGAGGGTGTGTGTGGGTGGTGTTGGAGGGTGTGTTGGTGGTGTTGGAGGGTGTGTGCTGGTGGTGTGTGTGGTGTTGGAGGTGTGTGGGTGTGTTGGGTGTGTGGTGGAGGGTGTGGGTTGGAGTGGGTAGGGTGTGTGGGTCGTGTTGGAGGTGTGTGTGGGTGGTGTTGGAGGGTGTGTGGGGAGATGTTGGAGGGTGTGTGGGGGAGGTGTTGGAGGGTGTGTGTGGGTCGTGTTGACGGGTGTGTTACACACTGACACACGGGAATTAAGACAACAAGCATCCAGTGAGGGGGTCTTGTTGTGTGACTGCATGGTGGTGAATTAAAAGATCAGCTGTTGAGGATCTTATCACTTGTCAACACTGGTGCATGTTACCACTCCTTTCCACTCCATCACCTACACCTTTCTGCTCTCTCTCACTCCATGCTGTAGAACCTCAATAAATCGGACTAATTGGGGCAGATCCCAGTCAAGTGATTATATGGGGGTGAGAAAACACAGCTTATCTGAACTGTTTAAAGAAAATCAGTTGTTGTTATGTTATTACTGCACTTCAACAACTAAGTGTATAACAAGGTTATTAAAACACTGTTACATCAACAATAAAAAATATAAAACAACTGTTGATAATTAATGAGACATATAAGTCTGGTCATCACCGAGATGATTGTTATTTACTGTAAAGTGTTATATGTAAGTAACAACAGAATTTGTCTTATGAATAAAGAAGAAAACTGTAAACTGTACAGTAATATAAAGATAAAAATATGTGTAGGAGTATTGTGGAAGGTGAGTGGGTGGCTCCCTCTCTCCCACAAGATTCCTTTATGCTATTCCACCATAATTATCATATAATCTAGGATCATTTGGTGCCAGGTTGATAAAATTTAACCTTAAATAAATCAACTTTCCTGAATAAAGAATCCCACACTGAACACCAGGAGTCATTTGTTTATAAAGAGCAAACAGCTGATAGGTTTAGCTACTTACAACAACTTCTGCCTTCAACTCTTAGTAGATTAGCACAGTACAGTTATGTATTTATCATTCATTTAAGAAATAGGCTGTGTAACTTTAATATTAGTGTTATTATAAAAAAAAATGTGCAAATTACACGTGTAAATCGAGAAGTGAATCTGTTTGTGTTTATAAATTATACAGTATATGTGCCTTCAATCTTTGTCTCCTCCACCCACCTTGCCTAACACGGTGAAGAAGTCCGTCCAGAAGAGCATGATGATAGTAGCGAGGGAAGCGAGCGTGAACCACACTAGGTGGATGCCCCACTTGGCCAGGCCAGAGTTGTTAAGTGGCACCGTCACTGCCACACCAACACCCCGGCTGGATATAAGAGTCAGCAGCACAACACAACACAACCTGGCCTGGCCTGCTTCAACACAAGCACAACACCAACCCAACACAACCTAGCCTAGCCTAGCCTAGCCACCAAGCCTAGCCTAGCCTGGCCTAGCCTAGCCTAGCAACTGCCCAGCTTGCTTAGCAGCAGCAACCCAACCTAACCTAACCTAACCTAATATTTACTATGAGAATACCCTAACCAAGGCTCCAATGTGAGCCTGCACTGATCACCATCAAAAAACTATGCTTACCTAATGTAAAGTTCCACATGTTCCACCCTGAGACATACTGTACTTACTGTCTCAATGTAAAGTTCCACATGTTCCACCCTGAGACATACTGTACTTACTGTCTCAATGTAAAGTTCCATGTTCACCTACATCTGCCTCTCAATGTAGTTCCACATGTTCCACCCTGAGACATACTGTACTTACTGTCTCAATGTAAAGTTCCACATGTTCCACCCGACATACTGTACTTACTGTCTCAATGTATAGTTCCACATGTTCCCACCCTGGGGCCATACAACCTTACTGTCTCAATGTAAGTTACATGTTCCACCCTAAGACATACTGTACTTACTGTCTCAATGTAAGAGTTCACATGTTCCACCCCGCAAGACTTTCATGCCACTGTCTCAATGTATAGTTCCACATGTTACCCTGAGGACATACTGTACCTGTGTCAATGTGTAGTTCCCACATGTTTCCACCAAGGACATACTGTACTTACTGTCTCATCTTCCACATGTTCACCCTAGGACATACTGTACTTGCTGTCTCACGTGTAGTTCCCACATGTTCCACCCTGAGAGACATACTGCCTTACTGTCTCAATGCAGGGACATCCACATGTTCCACCCTGGGGAACATACTGTACTTACTGTGCTCAATGTAAGTTCCCACATGTTGCCACAGACGCTACTGTACTTACTGTCTCAATGTAAAGTGTCACATGTTCCACCCTAAGACATACTGTACTTACTGTCTCAATGGCAGAGTTCATGTTCCCACCCTGAGACGCTACTGTACTTACTGTGTCTCAATGTAAAGTTCCATGTTCACCCCTGAAGCCATACTGTACTTACTGTCTCAATGTAAAGTTCATGTTCCACCCTGGGATATACTGTGCCCACTGTCTCAATGTAAGTTCCACATGTTCCACCCCACAGGGACATACCCAGCACTTACTGTCTCAATGTAAGTTCCATGTTTCCCCACCTGAGACATACTGTACTTACTGTCTCAATGTAAGTTCCACATGTTCCACCGTGAGACATGCTGTACTTACTGCATCTCAATGTAAAGTCCACATGTTTACTTACAGAGACATACTGTACTTACTGTCTCAGTAAAGTTCCCACATGTTCCACCACAGAACATACTGTACTTACTGTCTCAATGTAAAAAGTTCCACATGTTCCACCCTGGACATACTGTACTTACTGTCTCAATGTAAAGTTCCCATGTTCACCTGAGACCTACTGTACTTACTGTTTCATTGCATAAAGTTCCACATGTTCCACCCTGAGACATGCTGCCTTACTGTCTCAATGTAAAGTTCCACATGTTCCACCCCATAAGGACATACTGCTTGTCTCGTGTAAAGTTCCATGTTCACCAGGACATACTGTACTTGCACAATGTTCAATGTAGTTCCCTGTTCCACCACAGAGACATACTTTGTACTTACTGTCTCAATGTAAAGTTCACATCTTCCACCCTGAGACATACTGTACTTACTGTGTCTAGTAGCAGGATTATGTTTCACCCACAAACGCTGCTGTACTTACTGTCTCATGTATAGTTCACATGTTCCACCTGAGACATACTGTACTTACTGTCTCAAATGCTTATGGATTCCTGAGCCACCCCTGGGGCACTGTACTTACTGTCTCAATGTAGTTTCCACATGTTTCACCCTGAGACATACTGTACTTACTGTCTCAATGTATAGTTCCACATGTTTCCACCCTGAGACATACTGTACTTACTGTCTCAATGTAAGGTTACATGTTCCACCCATAGGACATACTGTACTTACTGTCTCAATGTGAGATTCCACATGTTCACCCCGTGAGACATACTGTACTTGCTGTCACCAATGTAAGTTCCACATGTTCCACTGGGGCATACTGTACTTACTGTCTCAATGTAAGGTTCTCCACATGTTCCACCCTGAGACATATTACTGTGCCACTGTCTCAATGTAAGTTCCCATGTTCACCCTGAGACATACTGGCACTTACTGTCTCAGTGATGTAAGTTCCACATAATTTTCCACCCTGGGAACATACTGTGCCTGTCTCAGTAACAGGAGTTCCCACATGTTCCACCCTGAGACATACTGTACTTACTGTCTCAGTGTAAGTTCCACATGTTCCACCTGGACACACTGGCCTTACTGTCTCATCTTAAGTTCACATATTTCCCACCCTGAGACATACTGTGCCTGTCTCAATGTATAGTTCCACATGTTTGCCTGAGACATACTGTACTTACTGTCTCAATGTAAGAGTTCACATGTTCACCTGAGACATACTGTACTTACTGTCTCAATGTAAAGTTCCACATAATTTCCACCCCTAGGACATACTGTACTTACTGTCTCAATGTAAAGGATCCACATGTTCCACCCTGGGGAGACATACTGTACTTACTGTTTCAATGTAAAGTTCCTATGTTCCACCCTGAGACATACTGTGCTTGCATGTAATGTAAGTTCCATGTTCCACCCTGAGACATACTGTGCCCTATACTCAATGTAAGAAGTTCCACATGTTCCCACCCTGAGACATACTGTACTTACTGTCTCCAATGTATGATTCCCACATGTTCCACCCCTGAGACATACTGTACTTACTGTCTCAATGTAAGAGTTCCACATGTTCCACCCTGAGACATACTGTACTTACTGTCTCAGTATAAGTTCACATGTTCCACCCTAAGGCATACTGTACTTACTGTCTCAATGTATAGTTCCACATGTTCACCCTAGGACATACCTTGCACAATATAATGTATAGTTCCACATGTTCCACCCTGAGACATACTGCTTACTGTCTCCAATGTATAGTTCCACATGTTTCCACCTAGGGCTTATACTGTGCCTGTCTCAATGTATAGTTCACATATTTCCACCCTGAGACATACTGTGCTTACTGTCTCAATGTAAGTTCCACATGTTCCACCCTGAGACATACTGTACTTACTGTCACCAATGTAAGTTCACATGGCTCACGTGGAACCTACTGTACTTACTGTCTCAATGTAAAAGTTCACATGTTCCACCCTAGAGACATACTGTACTTTGTCTCAATGTAAGTTCCATGTTCCACCTGGGACATACTGTGCTTACTGTCTCAATGTAAGAACCCATGTTTCACCCTGAGACATACTGCTTACTGTCTCAATGTGAAGTTCCACATGTTCCACCCTGAGACATACTGTACTTACTGTCTCAATGTAAGTTCCACATGTTTCCACCCTGAGACATACTGTACTTACTGTCTCAATGTAAAAAGTTCCACATGTTCCACCCTGAGACATACTGTACTTACTGTACTCAATGCAAATTCCCCACATGTTCCACCCTGAACATACTGTACTTACTGTCTCCAATGTATAGTTCCACATGTTCCGCCCTGGGGCATACTGTACTTACTGTCTCAATGCTAAAAATTTCATGGCCACCCTGAGACATACTGTACTTACTGTCTCAATGTAAAGTTCCACATGTTCCACCCTGAGACATACTGTACTTACTGTCTCAATGTAAATTCCACATGTTTCACCCTGGAACATACTGTGCCACTGTCTCCAATGTAAGTTCCATGTTTCACCCTGAGACATACTGTACTTACTGTCTCAATGTAGAAGTTCCACATGTTTACAAGAGACATACTGTACTTACTGTCTCAGCTGTAATTCAGATGTTCCACCCTGAGACATACTGGCCTTACTGTCTCAATGTAAAGTTCTATGTTCCACCCTGAGACATACTGCCTTACTGTCTCAATGTAAATTCCATACCTGGGGAGCATACTGTACTTACTGTCTCCATGCTTAAAAGTTCCATAAACCACCCTGAGACATACTGTACCCACTGTCTCGGTGAGTTCCACATGTTCCACCCTGAGACATACTGTACTTGCCTTCTCAATGTAAGAGATTCCACATATTTCACCCTGAGACATACTGCTTTGTCTCATTGAAATTCCACATGTTCCACCGTGGAGACTATACTGTACTTACTGTCTCAATGTAAGTTTCACATGTTCCACCCTGAGACATACTGTACTTACTGTCTCAATGTAAGTTCCATATTCCACACAGGAATGCCCTTACTGTCTCAATGTAAAGTTCCCACATGTTCCCGCCCTGAGACATACTTTATGCCCACATACTCAATGTAAGTTCACATGTTCCACTGAGACATGCTAACACTGTCTCAATGGTTCACATGTTCCACCCTGAGACATACTGTGCCTGTGTCTCAATGTAAGAAGTTCACATGTTCCACCCTGAGACATACTGTACTTACTGTCTCAATGTAAGTTCCACATGTTCACCCTGAGACATACTGTGCTACTGTCTCAATAGCAAGAAGTTCCACATATTCCACCCTGAGACATACTGTACTTACTGTCTCAATGTAAAGTTCCATGTTCCACCCTGAGACATACTGTACTTACTGTCTAAATGTAAGGTTACATAATTCCACCCTGGAGACATACTGTACTGTCTCAATGTAAGTTCCATGTTCCACCCTGAGACATACTGTGCTTGCATCTCAATGTAAAGTTCCACATGTTCCACCCACAGACATGCATGCTTACTGTCTCAATGTAAGTTCACATGTTTCACCTGAGACATACTGTACTTACTGTCTCAATGTAAGATTCCCACATGGTACCACCCTAGAGACATACTGTGCCCTGTCTCAATGTAAAGTTCCACATATTTTCCACCCCACAGACATGCTGTACTTAC